CTCGCAGACCCGTGCCGCGGCGGCCGTCAGTGCCGAGACGAGCACGGACCGGCCGCCGGCCACCCGAGACGTCGGGGCCTCCACCGAGCTGGGCCTAGATGAGCTCCGTCAGATGTGTGATCTGCGCGATCAGCTGGACGAGCTGCGAGAGCTTCAGCGATCCACCAGAGCCTCGTCCAGCGAGACGCGTGACACGTTCACACAGATCAAGGAGTACGAGCTTGGTGTCAACTATGTGCGCGGCGCGTTCTCCTTCGTCAAGAGCGTCAACTGTTCCTCGCAGACTGAGCCACCGTCTCCTCCGGCGCCGCTCCGTTCGGCGGGAGCGCAAACTGATCGGGAGCCGGAGCCTTGGAGGCCGTCGACGCGTGCCTTCGCCGCCCAGGTGCACCCGGCGATGACCAGTGTCGGCGTGCAGTGTCTCGAGGAGGACAGCCGGGGTGTCGAGGCGCGGCCCGAGCGGCGCGATGTCGCCGTCACGGCGGATTACCGCCGGCTCACGCGGTCGGTGGCCACGGCCACGGATGCATCGCCGGCGGTGGCTCGGCCGTCCCCCGCGTACAGAAGAGATGCGGCGACGGCCACGGTGGCTCCGCTCGTCATGTCGCGAGCGGTGCTCACCGATCGCCTCAAAGAGCCACTGAAAAAGGTAAGAAAGTCATGCTCACTTATCGAGACGCGCTGCTCTGGGAAGTTGTGGCTAGGTGGCTAATATGTTTGGCTGGCGTATGTTGGGTAGCAGCGGATCACTGCTCAATTAGTGGAGCTCTGCCAGCTTGTTTCGGTGCTTATACAATTTGCTTTCATAGTGAAAGGTGTAAATGTCTTGGGTTTCTACTCACGAATCACTGCATCTGCAGCCAGGCCCAGTACTCCACTCGGATGGATTATTGTTGTAGCGTCATGTCATTGTTCCTGTACTGACCGCTGAACGTTCCGTCTGTTTTGGCTCAGGTGAAGACCACCATGACGGAGGTGACTCCACTGAGGAGCGTTGCCAGCGGCGAACACCTGGTGAACCGTCACCAAGGCTGCCAGACGGCCCCGTCCCTGGCCCCAGCCGCCACTGCCGCCGCCCCCGCCCCTGCGCCGGCCGCCCCCGCCCCGCCCGTCAGCAGCCGTCACCAGGCGACTCAGACGCTGGCGGCGCCGCCGTCCACCCCTCCGGCGACACCTTCCGACCGCGAGTCGCCGCTGCCGCCGCTCTCCCGCTCGTCCAGCGGCTCAAAGATCCCGCGCCGGATGGCGACACCTCCCACCGCCCGTAAGGCGGCCCCGGCCGCGCCGGCCGCCCTCACTCCCCCGGCTATGGTGCGGCGAGCGGCCTCCTTTGCCGGAGTCACCACCCCACCGACCGGCCGCAAGACGCCGACCGCTGCTGGTTCAGCCACCCCGCCGACGGCACGCAAGGCAGCCGGAGCGGGCACCCCGCCCACCGCTCGACGCATCCCAGTGCCCGTTGGATCAACAACTCCTCCCACGCCTCGACGAGAGCTCCGGTCGCCGTCACCGTCGGTTTCGACGGCGCGTCCGGCGGCCAAAGAGTCGTCACCGACGAATGGTGCGCTGGCGGTGACGGCGGAGTCGGGACCGGCGGCGGTGTCCGAGTCGGCCAGACTGGTGTCCGGCACAGGTCAGGTGTCTGACGCCGAGCCCAAACAGCGCCAGTTTGGTCGCAGGGACACGTTTGTGGCGCCCCGTGACACGGACTCTCAGCGGCAGGAGCTTGGCCAGGGCGACGCGGCAGATCAGTGAGTTTCGCTGGGGTAGGCGGGGACGGGGAGGGAGTAGCAATGACGCGTATCATCGCAATGCTCCAGGATTTTTCGTCCCGGGGTTGTCTTGCCAAAATCACGTTTGTAGCTTTGGTGTTTGAACTAAGAAGCATTGCTTATAGGCGTTTGCCTAAATCTGCTGAAGTAATCGTATATCGTATAGCCTTGCAATCGTACCTATCCCTCGATATGATCTTTCACGTGGTCGTACTTACAGTATGTGACTTGGGGTTGTTTCGTCTTTGCAGAAAATCGACATCGGAACCCGTGGATTTAGATGATTTCACGGCTGTTGAGGAAATGATCTCGACGGAGGAGATGAAAGTGAAGAAACCAGAAGCTCCCAGAATAAAGTGCGTACCGGTTTACACTTTCATACCGTTATTCAGTCTTAATCATCATCCTGTATTGCTTGTATCAGCTATGACGATAAACTCTCGTCTGACCTGCCCTAACCGCCCCTCCCGTCTTGTCCCTCGTCTTTTCTCCTCAGGGTGGAACCCAGTCCGGAGATGCGCGCCGCTCTGAAGGTGCTGAACGACTCCCTGAGCGCCCCAGGCGCCGGCAAGGGATCTTCCGCCGTCGCCCAGGCGCGCGCTCTCGTCCAGGCCGAGTGGTTCAAGGTGGCCGGATCGCGAGACGCCGACCCGCTGGTGGTGGAGGACTACCTGGACGTGCTGGAAGGAACGTCGCTCGACCTGCTGAAGACCGTGGTCAACATGGCGGATAGCAACGTGAGTATAGGATCAGTTTTTTACGGTATAGTTGCGGCTTTTACGTAATTAAGTGACAATTATTGGCATTCTGCTGAATATATCCGTCATTTCGATTTTCTCTCTGTCATCTTCATTTGAATTGTCCATTGGTTGATTCCTTGTGCATCGGACATTTTGCGTCGACTTACGTCGAAAAATGTTACTTTTCTATACTGAGTCTGAACCACCAAGAAACCACAACCGCACCAAACTGACTACAACCCTCAGCCCTAGACTCCCAGCTGCACTAACCTCACTGACCGGCCGACGCTCCCTCCCCCGGCAGAGTAACACGGTGATGCACTACGCGGTGTCGCACGGAAACTTTGACGTGGTCAGCGTGCTGCTGGACAGCAAGGTGGTGGACGTGCAGAGGCAGAACAACGCCGGCTACACGTGCATCATGCTCCTCTCGCTGGCCCACATCACCTCCGAGACGCACCGCCAGGTGGTCCGCCGGCTCTTCCAGAACGGCGACGTCAATGTCCGAGCCAAACAGGTGAGATGATGGCGGGTGCCGCTGAGAGGCTCGGGCGCCGCTGAGGCGCTGAGTCATGAGCGGATGTCCGGAGTGGGTTGGGATGGAAAGGAAATAGCTGCTTCAGAGATTTTATTTTATCGTTAACATTCTCGTCGGACCGTTTTCAATCAGGACAGCTGATGTGGGCCTTGCTGATGATGTTTCCGAATTCAATGTTTTTATGTGAAGCAAGCGATCACCAAACTTCCTTTACCGTGTTGGTCGTAAAGCATTATCCGTTTGAATTAATCCAACTTGCATGGCGCCGTTCTTTCACCATACATGGCTCTCGTAATGTTTCTTTATTAATCCGGTGTCTCGAAGTATGACGTCCGTATCCGCCCCTGTCCCGCAGCACGGTCAGACGGCGCTGATGCTAGCCGTCTCCCACGGCCGGCTGGACATGGTGAACCTGCTGCTGGAGGCCGGAGCAGACATCAACATACAGGTGCGTGTGGTGGTCACTGCAGATCTGCTACTGGTGCTCCTGCACTTGTGGTATGAAATTATTGAAAGGAATATTACCTCCAGGCGATACGCTGTTCTATTTCATTAGTGGCCGGCTTAGTGTCCATAGTATCGGAATGTCTTAGGTTTATCTACGATTTTCCAAGTTTATCCCCGTTCAGCTTAGAGAAATTCCGATATTTTGTCTAAGCGTCGCGCTCAAATGGACCCCTCAGCTCTGTGGATACGAGATCTCCGATGAAAGGCGCTACTTAGCAGTCCTACCATCCCCAGTGCCACGGAGATATAACCCTCTCCGAACCCCAGGTCACGGGAAGCAGCAGCTAGGTCTGACGCCCCCTCCCCACTCCTCTGACAGGACGAGGACGGCAGCACGAGTCTGATGTGCGCCTCGGAGCACGGCCACGCGGCGATCGTGCGCGTCCTGCTGGCCCACCCCGAGTGTGACACTCAACTCACCGACAACGACGGCTGCACGGCGCTCCAGGTGGCCATGGAGGCCGGCCACCGCGACGTCGGCCTCCTGCTGTACGCCCACTCCAACTTCTCTCGCGGCAGCTCCCCGTATGGCTCTCTGAGGCTGAAAAAGGGCGGCTCGCGGACGCCGGGCGGCCGGGCCAGCGCCACGCCCCCGCGCGGAGCCACGCCCACCGGCACGCCGGGACTCGGCAAGCGCAGTCTGTCGTCGCTGCACTGAAGCGCGTGATGTGGGCTTGTGGTGATACTCCGTCCAGGGGAGGTGTGGAGGATCGGTCGGTGTCAGTGCCTTGTAACGCGCGCAGCGGCGCGGCCGGGCGGCAGACCGCGCCCCGAGAACCGGTGGCACGGGCTGGTCGTGATATTTAACTGATACAGCCAGACGAGTCGTTCGCAGCGACGCACAACTAACCTCAGTCAGAATTGTTCGAGACGTTGCCTTCTTATTCAACCCAGGCGCTCAGCGCGGACTCCCCAGACGTTTCGGCTTCCAGGGTGAAGCGAGTGGTGCACTGACCAAGTTTTATCATTGAGTGGAGTCTGCTAGTGACTGGCTGTACCGGGTCCGACAGCACCGAGTGTGCCCCAGTTTTACCGAGCTGTCGGCGAAGTCGGCGGTAATTTGCAGTACTAACATGTGCCAACGAATGTGTAACTGACTTTTAATGTGTGCTTGTGTTTGACGTGCGATAGGTGAGGTTTTTAACCATCCGCTGCCAATACATTCCTCGAAACCTGAGTGGCCATACGAGTAGTTGATTGAGTTGTAATTGTGAACGAAAGAAAGAACACACGACAGGCGGGCGTAGATTCGTTCTGTGCTAATTGTATGCCGGGAAGCGTTCATATTTAGGTGGTTCGCCTCCTCTCGACACTTAGCAAACTAGCATGTGCGTGGTCATCAAGACTGCGATGCTGTGCCAACGCATTGGAAGCAAAAAGACGTCCCACCCAATCCTATCCTTCATGCCAACAATTCGGCCTGGCACCATCCCTAAAGCCGTCTCTGAAACAGCGATATATTTGTAGTGCACCCAGATCTCTCTCGCCGCCGACGGCGCGGCAGAGCTCAATCACAGACAGACAAACCAACCTGGCCAGTTCCGGCCGACAGAGGCCGCTTCAGGCCGCAGCGGCGGAGACGCTCACCACACGGGCGAGCCGAACGGGGCGGGGAGCACACGGCGCACACCATCACAGTCCCACGGAAACCCACCTTTCGCGACCATAGTGAGAATACAGCGCGACGACTCCGCGCAGCGCCCACTACCAGCAGAACCCGGCTCACTAGAAAGCCAACCCCGTCGCAATTATTACTACAGGGTGATTGCGGCGCGTGCACCGAATACGGCGGGTCAGTATCTTCCAACTAAGTACACCACCTTGAGAGCTACGTTCGCGGAAAGTCCTTCGGCTACCTACCTCGCCCACAGCTTATACAACTGGCCGTCCTGGCAGATTCTAAACGTGGCGCTACCACCGCGCCAGAGGCGTCTAAACGCGTCGGAGCTGTCTACAAAGTCCACGGCGCCGGCGATCGGTTAATAGGTCTGCGCCTGCGGGTCGGCACCTTCTTTTTTACATGGAGGTGGGGGCGAGGAAGTTGAGTTCGCGCAGGCGGCTGGGACGCGGCCTGTTGCGGTTCTTTTTACGCTCAGCCGGCGGATCGGTCATACCTCCGGCAGTCGCGAGGGACGAGGCCGGCGGAAGGAAGGACACTCCGGCTGCCGGGAGGGCCGCCGCCCCGCCGGCCGGGGCAGCCGCGTCCGGCTGGTCAGGGTGGCTATCGCGCCACTCGCGGCAGATGTCTGCCGGCCGCTCCGGATAGAATATGGACGGCGTGAAGAACCGGTGGCCGCGGCGCTGGCGCGGCGGCGTGTTGGGGCACGATAGGGACGGTCTGCGCTCCAGATTGGGGCGTTCCACGCTCGGCAGTTCGGCGAGATCCGTGGCCGAGGTGACGCGAGTCAGGTTGTAGCCCACCTCGTCCGCGTCCTGCTGCGACCCGGCGGCGCCCAGAGCCTCGGAGACGGCCTGGGTCAGAGACGGCGCCGGGACCGGGTCGGCGAACGTGTCGGCTGGGGAGGGCGAGCAGGCGGTCAGATAAAATAAATCTTGGATATACGTCTATCGGCGGTGCAACACTCGCCGTGACGACTCAATGCTTCAAAACGCACGGGTCTTGACTTAATGCCTAAGGTGGATTCGGCCGGATTCGGCCTTGAAACGCATACCTCCTATGCATTGAATTGAAAAGCAAGCAAAGCGACATTATAAACTGACAAGACATAAAGCATCCCAGCTTCAAAAGACAAACATGGAGGTACAGTCCACAGCAGAAGTAATGTGTGGTTTCAGTCATGGGTATGTTCTGCTTCTGAAGCCTAGGAACGATTAGCCAGACTGCAACGAGACTTTAAATGTAGCTTACATGTATCTTCACCCTTGCAGCTACAACTTTATCTATTAACGTCTTCTTTTCAATCAGTCCGCATTTAAAAATCGTCGGTCAAAGCCATCCGTTCAGATTGGTAAAACCACACATTACTTTAGCGGTGGGCTGTACGTACAACGCGGCGACATCTGCACTTCAACCTACTAATTCGATTACAACCCTTCCCACTTTTCCATCATCCACTCACCAGCCTCATCGCCGACTTTGACGGTCATTTTGGTGGCCGTGGCCGAGGTCATGGCGGACGGCGGCGGCGGCGGCGCCGAGTTCTCCCCAGGAGAAACCTCCAGATGGCGCACCAGCGACACCAGTGACGTGGGGGTGGCGATGGAGGCCGAGTCGGACGGCCGGCGGCCCAGCGACCAGCCGTGGGCGCCCACTGGCGGTGTGCCCGGTCCCTCGTCTCCGCCCAGAGGCGTGGCGTTCATCAGCGAGTGGAACATGGACTCATGGTCCGGCGGAGACACGATGTTGGCCAGGTCGAAACTGTGGCGCACGGGCGACGGGGCGGGTCAGAGGGCACCGGACGGCGGACAGGCTGCCGGTACCGAGCGGTGATCGGTGGATGGCTGTTGAATCATGTTAAAGTTTGGAAACGGGTGGACTAGCACGGGTTTTATTGGCTATCTCCCACAAAAAAGAGAAGACAAAATGATAAGCACGGGATGCTGCTAGCGAGATAATTCCTCTAGAAAGCACGCTTGCAATACAACACGATTTTTCAATTCAAATTTTGTTAAGACGCACTCATACCTAATAACTGCCTGTGCAGTGCCTGCCACCCAGCGCAAGTAAAGAAGCAACCATGCATGGAGGAAAGCGTCGGCACTTATCCATCCATCTATCTTTTCATCATCCTCACCTTCCCGGTTCGTATTCGTCGTTGCACATCCACTCGATGCACGTGCGGCTCTGCCCGTCCATCTTGCACACAAATACAGTAGGTACCTCTAGGAGCAGGAGACAGACCAGTCACCAAGTGCAGACAGACAAAGTAGGCTAGGTGAACTACACCGTAATGCTGAAATGTTAGCTAAAAGGCATTTGTGCTTCTGGCTAAGTACCGCAGTCAGTACAGGCAGCAAGCAAGCAGGTGCATCAATTCATAATGCAACTCGACGACGAAATGCTAATAGCATGTATCTCTCCCCCAGCATAAGTCGAATGGATACCGAGTAATGAACCCTTTGCTCTGCACATTACACATCATCTCAAAGCAGAGGTCAGACTTTCATCTCAAGTCTAATGCTCTTCCAAAAGGGTATTTAAAAAAGGGTATCTAATGCCTATTTAGGCAGCGGAAAAATTAGCCAACCGGCGAGCAAACATTGCTAATTCATCCAATTCCTCCCACTTTCAGCTATCATTGATAACAATATGTAAAAGGGAAATTAAATGATGCATGGATTCCACACTGATAATTGGTATATGACTTATTACAGATTTGCTCACAGAACTTAAAGGTTTCTCAGGCCCCTAGACTTATCATCCTTGTTTGAGTCAGTAGATTCACTGCCACATAGAAAATATACGCAATGAAAGAGCTTTGAAGCACAGATACAACAAAGATAATGACAGGTACAGCGTGAGGATTGCTTACCTTTATAAAAAGTAGCGATTTGCTCAAAATAATACCAGGCTAATCCACCATTGTTGCTAGAGTATCTGCAAAAAGAAAATGACATCAATGATACAGCAATAAGGTGACATAAAGAAACGTGACTTAATTTTGGGAGGATGTGTTTTTAATAAAGCTGAGATTAATGAATAATGAATTAAATTTTGCAATTTACATAATGTAAGCAGCTATGTCTTTATCATCATTATGCTACTTCTGATAAACTTGAGCACACTGAAGGCCGAGCTACACTATGCGTGATCGTCCAGGAAATTACGTGCGTGATCTGCGAGTTTGCGGGTTTTGCAGAAAATCGGTACGCAGATGAAGTTCAGCTGATAGGAAATACACACTGTCGGCTACACTGGGGTCACGCAGATTCAGTCAAGGAAATCCCGGACGTTCAGTACAGGAAATGCCGGATAGTCAGGACGGTCAGGATGTTCCATACCGATATAAAGTTCAGAGCTACAAACTTGTTTGCAGTATCTGCGAGATTGCGTGATATGAGACAGTTGTTGGCGCACTTGGTGGCGCACCGTATGAATCCAAGTGACGTAATTAATAATTGTTTCTTTAATTTACATGTGTTTTTGATGTTTTATTAACAAAATAAACTAATTATCAATAAAATAGTATAGAAGATAGCAAAGTAAAGCGTTTGTTGCGAAACAATTTACTAGTTGTTATTATTACGTCAGCATACAATAATTCACGGAAATTCTGGAAAATCGCAGAAACCAATGTCATGAGGAAGTCTTGAAATCACAGGTCTGCAGATCACGCACGTAATTTCCTGGACGGTCACGCATAGTGTAGCTCAGCCTTTAAATTTAAAAATATTACTTATACATCAGTCACCTCATTTTTTTTCTCTCTGAATTTCCTGACTTCACATATAAAAGCCACAAATGAAAATGAAAATGTATAACTCTAAGTTAGTGCATACACCAGCATGATTGAATTATATAATGTGAACAATTCAGGATTCAGGAAACTGTCTTGACAACTGTACAGATTCATGGGAGAAAACAATTTGGAATTGAATGGATTTAAATAAAGTAGGTAGGTACCAATCATTGCTTACAGAAATGGAGTAACCTTTTGCAAATATCCCCAAACATCCAAATCCAACTCTTTGGATCCCCAGGGGAGAAAAGAGAGGAACATACCACACTACTTGCCCAGCCATTGTAATTTGTATATATGACTAAGCATCAGCTCAAGCTGGTGAGAGAAAACAGTGGCATAAATACTACAATATGGTTCAACTTTTGTACTGCTGTCTTGCACTAAGTTCATACTGGTAAGTGGTAATCCAGATTCCAGGACCAGACACACTTGAATGATCAGGTCATTCATTAGTCAAGGCATAGCAATGTGCAACAGAGCAAGACAACAAGGAACAATGCAAATCAACTGCAATCTTGAGTCAAGACTTGATGGTACATTAGCACACACAGCTATTGAAAAAAGTACAAAAATCAAACATTTTCCTGCTGAAACTATGTCCTCATCCCAGTCAAACATGTGATTGATTAGAAGGTGCCTCTGCCTTGGCCCCACAATCCAAACCTGAATCACTTGTCTTGTTCCCTTTGTGTAAGCTAGGCTTTGTGCATATTGGGTACTGTAGTTCCATGCAACTTTGGTCACCAAGGGGGACGCCGGTGAAAACAGGGCGCCGGAGGGCATATTAGTCACGTGACATTTGGAGCTTCTCCCCCTCTGTGGGCCTTCTACATGCTGAACGTCACGTGTGTATTTCACGAACCTTGATCAAATCGCCCCAGGCGCCCTGTTTTCACCGTCGTCCACCAAGGGCAACTTTGGCCCACTCCTGGAAAACTAATTTGCTTTGCTATAGTAACGTTTTACACCTAATGAAACCTCTGTATGGTGGACCTTAAGTAAATGAATACCAATTGCTCTTGGTGGTCAAAGTTGCACGACAATACATCACTGGTAAGGCAGACATAGGATGAGCTGCTATATGCGCCAGAATTGGAATGCGTCTTTCTAACCAATCCAAAACAAAACAAACCTAGCCCCACCAGACCCAACCTGACCTACAACCTACAGCCTACTTTCTACAACCTTCAGCCTAGGGTAGGTAGGTATCACATATGGCAGCTCGTGCTATGTCTGCCTTACTGATACCATGCACAGTGTGCAAAGATTCATGGGAGAAAATATTTTGGAATTGGATAGAAGTTTAACTCTCCTGTAAGCACTTCGTCTTTGTATACCAATTCTGTGCTTGATTCACGACCCAAACTGAAATGCCAACTGAAATTGAAATGAGCGATCACTTCAACTTACCTTAAATTAATGTCACCGAACGTCACTAGCATGCAATTCAAGGGCATCAGGATCAGACACCAATCTCATGACAGTCACACGCTTTCAAGCAGCCTACCGTCCGTCCCTGTCAAGTTCCAAGCAATTCAAAGCAGCTTGGGGAGCTTGGGTGCACTTGAAATCACGGTATATGGTCCCACACACAAGGGGGAAAAGCTCAAATTATTGAGCGCTCAAAATATTGAGCGTGTGACGCCAGAGGCTCCCATAGGCGTAATGCTGAGGGCTCAAAAAATTGAGCCGTTTCAGGAACACGTTTTGCAAAAGCAACTCGCAACACCTAGGGAGAAATGGCAACACCCTAGGAGAATCACTAATGATGCAAAACAGATTAGGCTTTCATATTTTTCACTGCTCAAGCTTCAATGATTGGGGGAACACCAATTAATAGGTCGAAATCTTACGGCATACCAGGATGACTTAAAAACAGGCCAATATTCATGTCAAAATAAAAGTAATTTTTTGTCCATTCACGTTTTTTACTAGGGTTCTGTTGGAAAGAGCATTTTTCATACTACCCAAAATGATTGCGACTCAATTTCACATTACCCATATCGGAGAATATTTTTCATTTGGCGGCGCCGTTTGTTTATTTCGTCGCGACGTCTCCGGTCGCGTGGTTGTCGTCGTCCTTGTGTTGAAGGTAAGTTTTTATCGTTTTAGTTATACTTAGATGTTAAAAGGTACACTGAAAAGTTTGAATATGCTGTGATTTTAAATTTGGAAACACGTAAACGTCAATCAATTCACGTTTTCCTCGATTTGCGTGCAGATAAGTAACTGTCGACGAAAGTGGCGCCATCCGATATGATGTTTTGAAGGAAGGAGACATAACATATTTACGTGAAATTTTTTGTTTTTTAGTGGTCTAAGTGCTTCAAAGAGGCTGTGAATGTTTTCTTCACACAATTTTTCATTAGGTATGATGAGGTAAAAGGTAGTTTCAGCCTTAACTTTCATATAATTGACATTAAAACATATGATATTCCACTGCTATCAGTGATTGAGTACCTTGATATTTGGCATTTCTTATTAATTTGAATGTATTCTCTATCCATATGTCCTGATAGTAAGTGACAATACTCTGCCAATATGTTTCCATAGTTTTCACATTCATTTTCCAGTCCTTTACATAACATCACAATTTATAATCAACAAAACTCAACTCCTTCGTTACTTCACAACACTGATATTCTTACCTCGTATTCTTACCTCGTTGGGTTCCTCTTTGCCTCGCTTGTCCGGATAGGAAGGGGTCAAGTTGGGTGGATGTAAGGAACCCTAAATGAAAGAGACGCGCCAGTCCAAATGGTGACAGACAAGAAATAATAACATTTAATAATGGACCGGAAATTGCGCCTCGCGAAACAAAGTCGTACAAGATAGACCTATATCATATAAGAAAAACAAGTTGTAAGACGACACCTACCTATACAGTTATCATTACCAAAACACAGTTCGCATTTTCATATAAGTTAATCTACATAATCGAACAGTTTGCTACGAATACATGTATCAAGAATGCGTTTTAGGCTATTAATATTAGTCGCGCATGCTGCCTCTGCAGGCAGCTCATTCCATATGCGAATACAGCGAACAGAAAAAAAGCGCTTGCGAGTGTCAGTTCTGGTGGCTGGGGGAAATATCTTACATCCGTGACCCCTGGTGCCGCTGCGATAGGGCCTCTGGAAAAGGTCATTAGGATTGATACAGGAGTGGTTATTTAGGATTTTCCAGTACTGGATCAGGTCGGCCCGCAGCAGTCTACCCTGTACCGAATAGAGGTCCAATGCAGCTAACCTTTCACCATAGTTAAGTCCAGTCATTCCATCAATGTGTCTCGTCCATCTCCGCTGAACCCGTTCAAGAAGTCGAAGGTCTTGTACATACCCAGTATTCCAAATGCAAGAACAGTACTCCATGATTGGTCGGATGTGGGTTGTGAGAAGGGACAGCATAAATTGAGGAGAGCGACACACTGTGGACTTAAGTAGGCTTTCAGCTAGGCCACCCGCCTTATGGGCTACATTTCGGATGTGGTCATGAAACTTCATGGTGACATCAACAAGGACGCCCAAGTCAGAGGCCTTGCTTGCTGGAGTTATCGGAGCACCATTCAGGATGTAGGATGGCTGGCTAATGTTGGGACAGGGTCCAGCAAAGCGTAGGACCATGACAGACTGACAGTCAACTATTGTGTGTGTGAATGCTGAAACAGGATAGCCACTTTGCTGACTGGCTCATATGAAATAAGATAAAAATGATCCTTTATATCATTTCCATCTGGAGGATCGGAGTCAACGGAAAAGGAAGGCCACTTTCAAGCCTCAAGGTCTAGGCCGCCAGACGCCAGTCGGCAGTCACCACCAAATTTATAATAGATTAATTCATTATTATACTTTGAGACCCTTAGGTCACTGGATCGGCATCACATTTTCAGTTTCAATATAGTAAAGGTTTTTATTTGTATGATGTGAAATATTTTCCTGAATCAGAATTTAATTATCCCTAGGTACCTGGTAGAGGTTTCGGATTTAATGCTCATTGTTGGTGTGCAGTCAGGATTTTTTGACAGGTCCAGATAGGGAATCCTGAGCAATTTTATAGTAAAGTGGTCTCCTTATAATCACCACACATTTTATCAAAAGCATTTGCAGAATTCATTCAATGAAGAATTTTATCAATGTTGCACCCATTTCTTAGACGACCTAGGCTGCATCTTTTTTTAGTTCCTGTTGTATGACATATTTTCCGTTTTGTTCCTCTGCATAAAGAAAAAAATCGTTTGAGATCACCAAACAGCTTTTCTTTTTCTGGCAGGTCTGCACAACCAAGCGGTCGCTGGCGAGGACGTCGGCCGTCCCTGTGGGTAAGGTCATCTGCTCAGCCTTTGTGGAGATCAGCAAGACGTCACCAAGATGAAGACTTCGCAGGAGCAGAAGCCGCTGACCCGTGTCCGATCAGGCAGGTCATGCTCGACGGCACGAGCCACAACTTGAACGACTCGGTGACATCAACAACATGGTGGAGCAGGTGAATGAGTTTGGCTACGTGTTGTGCGACTGCAAGAAGGGTTGGCTGCGTGTTCTGGCTGGCGGAGCGGCGACGCTGCGCGGTCTGTGGGCTGACAGTGAGCAGCTGGCCGTGGTGACCGCGCGCGCCCACATGCGCCGACAACCTGTGCGGCTTCGACGGCCCCGGGACAGCCCGATGCCGCCCACTATGCGACGCCGACCGCGCACTGTCTGCACGGCCACATGGAGGTGTGCCCGCGCCTTTTGCCCGCACGCCGCTACCTCGCAGCTGGTCTGCAACCACGCCGTCGCCGCCTGTAGCCCGATAACAAAACGGCTGTCTGATAATGCCGCGTGTTCTTTGTGATGTTGCTACTGTGATGGTTGCTACTGCTGGTCTGAGACTCGATGTTTCCATTCGTCCTTTACATGTTAAGGATTTGATAATGATTAGCTTAGTCCGAGCTTAGGTCGTTTATATCATTTGTTATATGGCATATTTTGGATCAAAGCAGTACGACACTGCCTCCTGCTTTTGTGATGTATGCTGGCAAGACGCAGGTTCCGGTCGCAGGTCACCCGGTTCCAATGTGGTCGGGCTGGCATGCGATAATGTGATGTTGTTTTGCTCGTCTCTGTGTTCCACACTTGATGATGTTTGTGAATCTAACCCACATTGTATAGTATTTTTGTTTGTTTGCGGCCGATGGCCTTGTAAGTTGTAACCGTGGCAATACAGTATTTCCTGCTATAATTCTCCAATATTCAAGCGTGGGTGGATGTCTTTCTGTATTCACGTATTCCCTTCTCCCAGTACAGTCAGAGAATATCAATACAGTATTCATACGGATTATTCAAGCCCTGTATAATTATTTGAGGTGTGCCGAATCCGAAAGGCGACCGATAAAACTACTAGCGGAAAATGTGACATGATGCCATGGGTTTGTGAAAAGTTTAGGTGCCACGTAGCATTCAACTTCCTGCATTTCTGTTTCAACTCAGTTTAACGTATTTCAACGAACAGAACATCAAAAATGGCAGCCAGTACCGGCTTCACCTGTCACGGAGAACGCTAAAAAAATTGAGTGTAGATGCTGGCCGGCACTCAATTTTTTGAGCGCCAGCTGACTGTCGTCTGTCGTGGCGCTCAATTTATTGAGTATCGCGGTCCCGAACGACAAGTGGCGCTCAAAAAGTTGAGCGTCTTTAGGGCATTTTCTTTCCAAAAACACCGATATAAATTATCCCGTGAGTGTTCGAGAAGAAACCTTGTTGCTCCCTCTTGCCATTGATACCTTATTTGGATACGATATTTGCCGTAGTGTGACGCTAAAGGCATTGTAAAATACCATCGTTTCGCCTATTCCTTCATAATGGGGCCCGCTCAATTTTTTGAGCGCTCAATTTTTTGAGCTTTTCCCCCTTGTGTGTGGGACTGATATAGAGAACTCTTGAAATATCCTGCTTGAAATAAGGCCTGGTCGGAATCGGCTGCTGTGCTGTTGTCAGCTGAGATCCAAGCCCCTGATTGGTTGAGATATTGATGACGTATCACGCCTTCCCGCGCTGTGACGTCATACCTCTGCTGACAGCCGCCTTTTCGGCTGCTGGGAGAAGGCAGCAGCACGTCAGCCGAAATTCAAAGTGGCTCGAAAGTGGCGCATGTAAGTCAAAGCGCAGCTTTATCGTGCAGGTGGTTAGTTTTTATATACGATGTTTTTGACGTATTTTGTATTTAATATTTTTCGCGAAGGATAGCAATTATTTCTTTTTCATGGCACAATGTGCGAGTCAGCCTGAAAACAGTACCTACAAATCGAAATGCCAGCACCGCCTCAATTATCAATCCTGTAATTTTTTTCTATAGCCTCGGCAAATAAACCTCAGAAATATAATGTAACGACTAACGGAAGATAGTCGTTGAAAAAGCGCGAAAATGCTACCTCTCTCAAGTCTCAGCCCTATCTGTCGAGCGCCATCTTAGCATCTCAGCGCCATCTGGGCTGACGTTTCCTGTCAGCCGATTATGAACAAGCCCATCAGCAGCGCGGTGTGGGCGGGGCTTATTCTCGGCTGACAAAGTTCTGTCAGCCGATTCCGACCAGGCCTATAATCTGCATCTATGATCTGCGTCGGCTGCGTCGTCCGTTCATTTCTTCACTCCTCCAGAGCGCTGTTCGGCGGCCGGCTAGCGCGCTAGCCCGCGCACACATACGTGCACGTTGCCCCGGCAACGGGCTATTGACCAATGAGAAGCGCGCTACGGGGGGCACAGGTATATGAAAAATCGCAGTGACGTTGCACTTTCCTCGCTTCTCATTGGTCAATAGCCCGTTGCCGGGGCAACCAGCACGTATGTGAGCGCCGGCAAGAGTACTAGCCGGCCGCCGATCAGGGCTCTGGCCATCTAAAGAAGGTACAGTCACTCTCCCGCCGACCAATCAGAGACAGATCCTGAGTGACGTCACCCCTGATGCTCGCAAGGGGTGCTCCATTCCTTTACAACGTAAAAATGACTAACTTCATTCGAAGATTGTTGGTGACACTCTACACATATCGCTCAACCGTTGATGTCATTGGAAAGTCCAACTAATTTTCTAGCGATAAAAAAGAGCAGCAATATGCTAAGAAACGACCGGTTTTGAAGATATAGACGATTTAAAAATCCTCTGCAGTTGCAGGAAAGCAACGTAAAAACGCATCGAGCTTATATTTTTACTATGAATAAATCATTTTTCAGTAAGTTTTTAGATATGGTATCGATTTAATCAACAACTTTATTACCAATATTTTTATTACTTGTAACTTTATTTCAAAATAATATTTTCAAAAATGGCAACTGTTGGCAAGTAGCTTTGAAGCGATTGTGGCGCACCGCGCCATTGTTGTCCTGAGGCCCCCTTATGATGTCATCAAAAGTGGAGTGACATGGGGCTGACTCCAAATTCATTTCAAGGCGTTCAGAATGCATGTCACCTCTTGATAAACTATAAAGAATGTGACGTCATAGTCCCTAATGGGCCTATCGCAAAATGAGCTTAGAGTAAGGCAAGAAATATCAGTTAAAGACTTAAACTGAAATAAAAAGCAATATCCATTGTATCAAAGTCTTCGTTAGAATAAGAATGAATATTGATTTGCTGATGATATCAGATTTATTTGTTCTATAATTGACATCCTTCTGACGTCACGATACGTCATCGTATCAGGGGGGGGGAAACCACATAATGCGTGGACAGGCCGCATGGGCGTCGAATGCGGGGGGGACGGGGGGGACGCGTCCCCCCCAGTCGGGGAATCCGGGGGGGACGTCCCCCCCAAAAAAAGAAACACCGACGAATGTTTTATAAAGTGGCTATTTGCAACGCTCATTGAGCCATGTAAACAGAAATAAACCTTCGTTAAAAGAACGCTGATGTTGGTTAGTTCAACCGTACACAAATAAGACCTCATGTACTTCAGCAGCTTGTGAAATTCGGACCGGTCAGAAACCGTTAGGCAGGGGTGGCGCCACAGAATATCAGTCTTCGAAATATGGGACGCCCTCACCACGGTGAAGCTAACTGAAACTCAGCCCGGGCGCGGGTTTAACCACCGATGCATATCTACCCCGTTTGAAAAGCACGATCCTCACGCACAAGTTTCAGGTGCACCTCACATTACAATGAAGGGTAGAGCACCCTTTGCTACTTGTAACTTACATCCGCTTACGAGACTGAGATCTATGTATGCCACAAATTTTCTGATTGGGAGAGACAATCCTTCTGTCCCCCTTTAGGGGACAGAAGGATTGTCTCTATATGGAAGGATTGTCCAATCTTATAGGGAAGGATTGTCTCTATTCCGTCCCCCTATTAGGGGGACGGAAGGATTGTCTCTCCCAATCAGAAAATTTGTGGCATTCATAGATCTAGGTCTCGTAAGCGGATGTAACTTGCAAGTAGCAAGGGGTGTTCTACCCTTCATTGTGATGTGAGGTGCACCTGAAACTTGTGCGTGAGGATCATGCTTTTCAATCGGGGTAGATATGCATCGGTGGTTAAACCCGCGCCCGGGTTGAGTTTCAGTTAGCTTCACCGTGGTGAGGGCGTTCCATATTTCGAAGACTGATAGATAAAAAGACTCGTAAAAAGCGATCGTTTGCTCTGAACTAATAGGTCTTTCCAACAATGTCTTGGCCATTTTTTATTTCCTGCCTACTGCTCCATTGTCTCTTTGACATAAGATCACAGATATAAAATCCGAATTATACGAATTGCTTGCACTGGTACCCTTATATTATTGCAATGCTGCAGAGTCGATTGCAGAGGTCGATAAAATCTCTGACCATCTGACCGTAGTCAGAGAAAAACAAACGAGCGAAAATCACATAAAGAAGAAAATATCATGGAAGAAATTCTAAGATTAGCAAAGCCAGCATTGTTACATCCATACACCTATATCATCGACTAACAACAGCACGAGCAACAATTTAGTGATGACAGTTTTCTATCATTTCTCCACTTTCTCCCTAGTCAGAGCTGGTCTGATCCGGTCAGAAGCAGCTCTGCGCCTATTAGGTCGGTTTCCCTACCAATTCATAACCAAATATCGCTCTTATTGGCAGTCGGAGAAAGTGGTGTTTTTGTCGACCGCTTTGTTTTCTTCAGCTGCCAAACTCTTGAGACAAGAGAAAAATAGTTGAGATTTATCAATAATAGTCGCTAATTCTTGCGATGTTTATTGCGAATCTGAAGGAATTTCTTCAAATACAAAGAAAAGTCTCAATAACGGGAAATAGCCACCTTAGTGGCAAAGACGCTAAGGCAGGGGTCGGCAACCTTTTTTGGATTGGGGCCGGATATGTGATTTGGAAGCAACCGGCGGGCCGGAGCATGGTCACAATTTGTTACAATCACGCGCAGGAGCCGCGGACCGGAACACAATGTTAGTTACTGATGCCAGCCGCGGGCCGGATCCGGGCCGCGGGCCGTAGGTTGCCGACCCCTGCTAAGGGCCCGACAGCGACGCGCGGTGAGGGAGGGAGGGAGTGGGTAGGGGGACTAGGAAAAAGGGGAGATGAGACGCGGGGCAGGAGGGCAGGAGGCCGGCGCTGGCCGCGGGGAAGGTAGGGGTTGGGGGGGGGGGGGTGACTCGCAGGAGCAAAACACACTCGGGTTTCAGTCGGCAGAGGACTGCGTGCGCGTATTGTATTGCATTGTATTGTATTTTACATCATTGGCACTCATCTGTGGCGAATAGTCGGCGATACCTTGGCAACGAGTCGGCGCACGCAGCGATATGTCGGCGCCGACTCGGCGACTGTTTGGCGATTATATTCGTTTATCACAAGTTCGGCGAACGGCCACGAAATTTTCATTTTTCATGAAAAATTTGTGGCGGTCGTGACGAGCCGTAAAAGTCGCGCGGTGGACACCGAATGGTCTGCGAAATGCCAAGACCGTGGAAGAATGATCCCGAATAGGTCCGCAACATAGGATGACCTGCATATTCGTGTACCAAAATTTGCCAGTGTAACAAGGGCTTATGACTGCCGTATACCAGTGTTTTGGGTTGCGTGGATAGGTATCCAAATTCATCATTTCTCACAATCGTCGAAGAAAAGCCTGGAGAAAATTGGCCGGTAGTCGGAGAAACTCCATGAATTTTGTCGACCTCTGGTCGATTGATCGACTCCGACACTAACTCCGACAACGGGTATGCCTCCTAAAACCCGAAGCACGGTAAAATGACTTGAGGTATGAGCCTTTTTCTTTTGACTGAACGTTTCTTGGCCACTGGCGGATCCAGAAAGGCGGTCCTGGACGCTGCGGGGGGGGGGGGCATACCCATTAAAAAGTTTCTCCAATTTCCTCCAAAAACTCGCCGTATTTTGATTCCTTACGGCTTACGCACTGCTGAGTGCTGAGCAGTTTAAAGCAAACTCAAACTTCTAGAATATAAGCTATACGCTTGAAAGTACCCCAACTTTTTTAGATGCAGGGCTACTTGACTTGGTGACTGATGATCTTAGGTGTTCTGACATCATACTTGTTACACGGGCTGCAACATTTATGTGTTTTGGAGCTGTTTTGCCAAGGGAATTTGCCAATTTCCGCGGCGCTTCGCGCCGCCGATTCATACTCGCATCAAAAAGAGACCGTGAGGCACCCTCACACGCAGGTATGTATGCATTACCTATCAGACTGGTGGCACACGTAAACAATTATACCCCGTATAAGACAAGAGGCTTTGCCCTTCACCCGGTGAAGGGCAAAGCCTCTTGTGAAGTTCACCGTGTCAAATTGAATCGGACTTCTGACTGTACAGTGTACTGTGCGCTGAAAAAGTACGGTAACAATACCTAGGTTTGGGTTTTTAGTCGGCCGATCCGTCCCCCCCTGTCGAAAATCCGTGGCGACGCCCCTGGGACAGGGTATATTGAATTATGCGTGGATGCATTATATGGATGTACAGAATGAGTCCCGAAGGCGAATGAATGAATGAATGAATGAATGAATGAATGAATGAATGAATGAATGCGAGTTGCGAATGAATCAAGACGGCAATGCCACCGGAGCAAGTTGTCTTGATGCCGCCATTCGAAGTTCGAACGAAAGATTCGTTTTGATTGAATTGTGCAAGGCTTTGATGATTCTTTTTTTAGGTTGGTGAAATAACATGTATAAATCGCTTTGGTTGGTGAAATTGCATGCATAAATCATGAAAAAACAATAGTGCGATGAATGATCCTCCCCTGGCAGCCGTTGTGGGACTAAATTAATAAACACCGACTGGCGACTGTGACCCAGACTGGGATCCCCTACAAACACTCCTACTATGAAACCCGTTCGCTCGACGCTGGCACCTGTTGATCTCGCGTCTCCCCGAATGGTCACATCGTTGTCGATGGTCACGTCTTCCGACCTTGGAACCGCCATCGCGCCGGAGTCAGTGGAGTCATGGAACAGACTAATAGGGAAGGCGAGTGTGGCTACGGGCGACGACAAAGCTCGATATCTCGACAAAGCATGGCCATCTAAATAGCAGAGATCGATCGACCATAAACATTTGTTGTAACCAGTTGTAACTTCGGACCTTCGGGCATATCTATCCGAACACACAATGCAGAGAAGTCTTGCAGAGATCTACTATATTACATCGATTTCCAAAAGTGAACAATTTCAAATCGCTAACAACCTCAACACAGCACCCATTTCTCAATCTCAACAAATGCCGATCAACACCCACGCACGCCGCACAGCAAACGCAAAAAGAAACACGCGCACCCTAGCACGTGAATGCCTACATTGGGCGTAAAACAGAGCGGTCAGGCCAGTGTGAATCATGATATGAAATTACAGACTGCTCAACAATAAAATGAACGATTTGTTATGCGCCGCAGATTCAACTGATGGTTTGCTGCCCAAGACAGCCAGCAACGAAACATCGATTGAAAAAAGAGGCGACGAGTCGTCTACAACATTGGTGTAAGTCAGCTACCACAAAATAGAGAAAGCCAGTGAATACTGGATAATAGTAGTCAAGTAATCTTGCTGGATCATGCCCTGCGCCTCGTCCTAAAACCTCAAAACGTAGACAAACCATAACAAAATCAGTAACTTTGGTAAAAAAGTACAATGATACGTTCTTCAGATATCCACCAACGTAATGACTATTCAATCTGCAAAAAAAGAGCTAAAACTGTTAGATCAAAATGAAAGGCTAACAACAACAAAAAGTTTCATATCAAAAACTAAAAACAAAACGTTTTAGCACAAACAAGCTCGAGCGTTGTCACCACAGGCTTCAATGCATCGTGCATATTGGTTCAGATCCGTCATCAGACCCAGGACGCGTCCTTTCATATACCGCGCTGCTAAAACTAACAGAGCAAATATACATAACTCCGAACACAACACAAGAGAACCTCAGTGTCACGAATACGCATATAAATAACATGAAATTCCACGCGACGGGCAGCTGCATACCCGTAACGCAATCACTCACGTCACGTAATCTTACAAAACTGGCCACAGGGCGAAAACCATACGTTGCAGCAGCACAAACTATTCACACATAATCTGCACTGTGCAGACTTTCATAACGTGCCTACTGCCTTTACAATATACAGCTCAAGGGCAGGCGGGAGCTGCCACATTTCCCCGTGAAAATCTCATCCAGTCAATCAGCATCAACTCCGAATAACAGTGTAGCGGCAAGCTACCCATTAGACACACATCATTCCACGACGGTACAAAAGTTACATTATCGTTATTAAATAAGGCTAGTCTGGAACAACACGACGCTAACCAACGACAAAATTGATGGATGCAAGTTTGACTTTTTCATGAACGAATTTTCCCGATCGGAAAGGGTCTACACGACAAGCTATGCTGAGCGTTGCCTCTGGCTTCGTAGATCTGCTCATTGAAAACAATTGGATTTCGGAATTCATGCGTTCAATGTCATTGATAAAAAAGAGATATCAGAGATATAAGATAAATGCCTGTTAACTACAATATTCATATTCATTCCTCTAAGAGGCTAGGCCTAGCTGATTTCAGGACAGACTTTGACGTCATATTCTGACAATGAAAACATTTCGACCTGACCCTGTTCAGTGCTGGAGCCCTACTGTGCACATAGCGTGGCTGGCAGACACCGGTCGCCTGCCACAGCACCAGGCCGTCTAGCCTACAGGGAACAGTCCGCTAGGCACTGGGACGGTTAGGCAACTGCCCAAAACCAGCACACTCGTGGAAGAACAACTCTGAGGCGCCCCACCGATGTGGGTTCAATGGAGGCTGATGGAAAAACTGCACTCAGCACAAACCTAAGTACTCAATAGGGAATATTCTCGAGTCAGTGCCGAAATTTCAATTTTTTTAACCACCGTGGGGTGAGACACCTGGCTTCAGGCCACATGATATGGTTTTAATAGCCGGTCTTAACAACGTTTGAAAATGGAAATCGGTGCTATTTTGAACCATTACTTGTACTCTACGGATAAAAAATGGATATTGAAATGACTTCTCAATGATGAATATGGTGCCAACAATTACACATGGTAAGGTAGCAGTCTAAGGCATGCCATCTTGCTGCATAACAAATATTACAGTAACAATATGTTACAGTTGTAAGTCTGTGGAAGATTCGACGCATGGCTCCTCATGTAAACATGGGAATCGGGAACACGCTATTAAGTACGTCGGGAAATCTCAACATCCATTAATACTATTGAAATGTCATGCTTGGTAAAATCTCACTAAGTTTCTTCAATAAGTGACAAGGCAAAAACTAATACAGAGATGTAAACTGAATTCAAAGATAAGTATATAGAAATGCCAGATCAACCCTTAAATCTGCTATTGGACCCACGGCAAACTTACGGCTGCTATAACTCAGTCATGTAAGACACTTAAGTCTAACTCACGTAACTCACAACCTCGGCTGCTTGGCAGCCAGGGGAAGAGGACCGCCTGCCGCGGCCTGGCACCGGCGGTGCCACTAAAGCTGCGTCCACACCGAGACGTATTGCTAAAGCCGTGCTCCCACCGCGGTCAGCCGATCGTCAGGCTGTCGGAGAAGTAGGCGAGAGCGAACAGAGAGAACACGCCCAGCAGGATACCGATGTTCTGGGCGAGCAGCACGCGCAGGCCGCGGTAGACGCTGATAGAGCTGGCCTTCTCGGCCGCCTCGTTCATCTCAGGCACCTGCCGATGGGACAGGGTGGTCAGACTCTGGGCCTGAAGTGGACTTGGGCACTGGGTGGTTAGACTTGGTGATTGGGGTGTTTAGACCCGAGGGCAAATTATCATGTCACGCAATGTGGCTCGGATGGGCATACTTCGAGACAAATACGACAGAAACCAGTAGTCCGAACTATGGGAAACTATGACACATGTGAAGTAATTGTAGGGAAGAACGGCTAAAGGACATCATGATGATTGGTGCCAGATAGCATATTTCATCATATGTGCCATGTTTTGCCAATGTAGCTCAAATATAGCACTGCCACATGACGCATCTCGGACCCGCTGACACCGTAAGTTAACCCTCGCCCATGTAGGGGGGGTTGGTGCACCCCCCCCCCCCTGAGGTTTTTCTTAGCTACACGCCGAACCGTTTCAGATAGCCGGCTAAAATTTTCAGTACCCTCTGGGGCATCCTTTGCGCAACTTTTGGTATTTTTTTTGTCAAGGTCATGTCAGGTCACGGAGTTATGACGTCACAAAGGGAACAACCTCCGGCCAGATTTACGCTAAATTGGAGATTGCTTCACATTGGTATAAATGCCGACTGACCTGACACACTGATGGATTGTTTTAGAATCACAACTGGCTGATTTGACATTGGCACAATGTCCGTTGACATTTTGAAGGTTACTAAAGGTCAAGGTAAGGTCAGTGACCTCGGTTGACCTGTAATGACTTTTTGCACTTGTATGCCTTTTCGGGGTATTTTGATGCCCTGAATTCGAATTTGCTATCCATTTCAGGCATCGTCGGTTGTTTCTTGTAGTTCATTTTGGGTCAGGGTCAGGTCAGTGACGTCACACGCCTGACGTGACCCAATGCACAAATGACCTTGCAGACTTCCGATGCTCCCAACGCATCATTTTTAGAGTTATGACATCGAAATACACACCAAACGATAGGGAATTGATCAAGGATCACGATAGTGAAGGTTTCAAGTCGATATCTCTTACCGTTTTGCCGCAATCGGCGCGGAAATCTTTTTCCGAAAATTTGACCTTTGACCGGTCATAAGTAGGTCAAATGTTGACCTAGGACCAAAAAATATACCACCAATCGCGAGATCTCGTTGAGAGCAATCCGTTGGTCTTTTCCGCTAAGCTCTACGACGCTCCGTTTTCAAACGCCAGGGGGGGGGGGTCGCACCAACCCCCCCCCCCCTGCATGGGCGAAGGTGGCAAAACACCGTTTACGGGCGATGGTTAATTACCGTATGACTTCCATTCAATGCCCCGGGAGACCACCAAAATAGCACCCGGCCGAAATCCAATCACTCACGCCAGACGCGACACAGAAGCCACAAATAAATCCATTACAGTGCCACATTCCACGAGTTTTATCTTCCCAGATACTACGATATCGGCTCACAGCCCCTGATTCTACTCTTCCCATCAGTTATATTATGAAATAACTTTAGAGATGTACCTGATGGGCTTCCGCTCTCAATCTAGCGTCATTTTCAATAACTTGCCTACAAAACGTAACATTTAGAGACACTACCCGTTCCATTCGCCATACCATGACGGCCTGCCTAAATAAGATGGCCTCTCTCCATTTCCCGCGCCATTCAAATCTACTAGTATAAATGTAGCCTCCCTTTCTGCTTCCATCCTTACCCCGTCGAGCCGAGCTGAACTCACCATATCCACCAGCGCTATGTAGAGGAACATGCCGGCTGCCAGGGCGAACACGAAGCTGGTCGACTCTGTGAAGTCGCCGATCAGTACTCCGAGCACCAGGCCCAGGTAGCAGGTGCACGCCGAGAGGAAGTTGTACACCACCGCCTGACGTACCGTCATGCCGGCGTCCAGAAGCACGGCGAAGTCACCTGCGGAGAGAGGACAGAGGTCAGTGAGAGAGGGAGAGTGGACACTATTGCGAGACAGAGAGGGTGAGAACCTGGTGGGAGAGAGCTGTAAGAAGGCGTAGGAGAGAGCTGTAAGAAGGCGTAGGTAATGGTGAGAAGTTGCCAGAACTATGACGTCATTCACTATGGTTTATTTTGGAGATGTGTTGACGGTGCGTAAGTAGAGACGAAAGACTATCGGCTGGAGATACAGTACATGAGCATGACGCCAGCGTAAACACGTGACGCACGGATAAGATGTCTGCAGAGTGGGAGGTGGAAGATTAGACGTGTTCATTTGTATATCCAATATTGAGAAACGTGTAGGATCACGACCGCTGGCGTCACCTGTTTGACAAACACAACAATACGCAAAAACCGAATGCCACATGAGAGGTACGTGGGATAGCCTGATACTACCCCGTTGCTGGAGAAAGTGTCTATTCTAAATCGGGACAATATCCTTCCTAGCATGGTCAAGCGGCGTCTCTCAGCTTACACAGCTCAGAGTTCAGACCATAGGTCAATACGCCATACGGGCAAGTAGCACAGGTAAGAGTACGCAACAGCAGCGGTTCAGAAAATGTCCGTTTTAGACCACTTCCATTTACGCTGAAGATCGTTGCCTCATGGGTTGATGACAAGGCTATGTAAACCAGGTAGAACGCTCGCGACGAAAAACTGTTTTTATCAGACTGGCCTAAATAATGTCAAAATCAAGTCTTGAACTGAACGGCCCGTGCTGCTATAGGTTACCTCTAACGCTCTGCCCCCCAAAATCGTCACTGGCTTATTAGCCAATGAGCGTCGAGCATTGACGCACGCTGATTGGTGGGATTACTGCAGTTGTTGTTAACGTTGCTCACGGTGCTGACAGCGCTAGCGAAGGTGTCTCCACTTTTCGTAATGTTAAAAGCACGGAGCGCACCCCCTGGTTGATGGCTAATTCAATGAACTTTAATGTTCCATATTTGCGATTTCTTTATTTCATATATTAAGCGAATGAGAGCAAGAAATCCATTAAGTGCGCACTCTTATACGACTTGACCCTATGGTAGCTGCACTATCAGCCCCGACCAGCAGCGCAGAATAACAAACAAAGGACACTGACAATAGGTTCAGCGAAGACGTGTCTGTTTATGGCGGTGCGCTAGTGATAAAACCTATTGCCAACAGTCTGCCACGCCCCTCCTCTCCCTTACAGCAACAACCTATTGTTTATAGGGCTATTTAGAAGAAAAAAAAAAACACCCGCAAGATACGTAACCAGACAGCAGCAAATGTTTATAGTAGTGAATCATATCGCTTCTGCACGTATGCGTGCCGCTTAGGTCAAACATATTCCAGAATCCAGATCTTCCGCGAATCGGTTGGCGGAGAAAACCTGACAGTGACATATTCCAGAGAAACCCGAGTGATATGACGGCCTTCACACCGTCAGATGGGATGGCTTTGGGCAGCGGGGTTGCCGGCTGCTGTGCCAGCCTGCTGCCACTGGTAAAATTACTTGCGCCATGGTAAAGAATATTGCGTGACACAGACCACAATGTGCAGGACCAGTATGACCCATTATCAACACGATACAATGGAGACATGAACCATAATGGATTTGAGGTGTGACGGAAATGAACGGAACATGAATTATGATACTTTTTCAACAGCAGTCACGATAACCCCCTGTCCTAAGATCATCAAACTTATAGTAAACCACCAGCCTTCAGCACAAATTCTAAAAACACAAAGCACTGCAAGCCTTTTCCGAACCCAGAGCCAAACATAGCACTCTTCCAACATTCCTCCGTGCCGTCCCTCCCACCAAAGGTGGAGAATTGTGCCGAATTGGGGGGGGGGGGGTTATCGGGCTCAACAAATCCGCCGCCGCCCTAGCGGTAACCTTGACCTCCGCCGGCTGTTGCGGCTCCAAAGCCAAGCCACCGAAGCATTGGGGGAGCTCGAGCACCCCCAGTCCAGCACAATACTCCACCTATGCCTCCCACCCCTCCTACCCACCGAGCTCGTGCGGCAGCTCCTCGCAGAGGACGGCCAGGCTGATGCTGATGCCGGTCAGGATGTTCTCGCTGAAGGCGGCGCCGATGCTCAGGCCGTCGAGGAAGTTGTGGAAGCCGTCGCCGAAGATGATCATCCAGGCGACGATGGCGATCTCGCTGGCGACCCCGGAGCCGCGGCGCAGCGCCAGCTCGTGGTCGTGGTGGTGGTGGCTGTGCGGCTTCTGCGGGAGAGCGAGAGAGATGTTTGTACACGGGCATGCAGGGTATCACTTACCCGAAAGTGTGTGATTGCACTCGGTTAAACGACACTGTGAAGTTAGGGGAGGGAGCTGGCCATTCTGGTAAGATGCAAATGAATTGTAGAAAGCTGCAGGAAATAAAGACGGTATAACTGTACGTCGATACCCGACCAATCCTCATTTTAGAAAACCGAACAAAATCGAATACGACTAACAGTAAATGTGGCCGTGATATTACGACAGATCAATCATTTAATACTTAATTAGCTATCCAGGAAAAGTTCCAGAGGTCGATTTATTTCGACTAAACCCACTGAAGCTAAGCGGATAGATGAGTTGTCATTTACTCCACCTCCAACTATAAACCGTATGACGGAACTACTCAAAACCATACGCGGTGCCACCCGCTGCAAACCGCGCCATCTCAGGGACCGTCCGTCCCGTTACATCCACCCGGGGGTGCGGCCGGTCCCGTTCCCAGCCAGGCACTGCAAGGACGCGATAAGGCCCCCTGCACACCCGTGAGAGCCAAGCCATATGGGTCGCTGCACAGACAGACGGGCTGATAGGGCTGTGCCGGCAGCTGCGGGGATGTGACGGTAGCCAGCCAGCGAGGGGCGCCGGTGGAATGGTGGCTTATACCTGATGGTATTCGACTTATACTTTAACTTATTTCGTCGACTCCATTAAGTAGATGCAGGATCATTTCTGATCGTCTTCCAATTACGTTGGTATACAGAATGAGCACCAAAAAGTTCCATTCGACGATTGTTTTGTCGTTAGTTATCACTACCACCACTGATGTTTCCACCCAGCTGTTTAGTGATCCATGGACAGCTATTGTAGCTTTGAAAAGAAAGCAAACCTCATGAAGCTTGGCCGCTGCAAACGTTCATCAAATAATCCCACTAAAACAATCAACAAAATGTCCCCAGCCAGTGGCATTACAATTACAACCCCCCACGGCTCCTTACACCTCCGCCCATTTCAAAGTCGTCCTCATTCACGCCACCGATTGACTCGCATCACTCACCTCCTCAACCTGCCCGAACATGGCCCTCACGGGCTCCAGGTGCGTGGCTTTGACGTCCCGGGAGCTGGGCAGCACCACACCGCCACAGCCGGTGGCCGGGTCGCCCACAGTGCTGCTGGAGGGGCTGCTGCACGGGCCGCGCGTCCCGGGCGACTCCAGCACTGAGTCAAGGCGTGGTTCGTCCCCATCAGCAGATGACCGGCGCTGGACGGGAGAGAGGGAGAGAGGGAGGGTCAGTGGGGAGAAAGAAGGAGAAGCTGGATTGGCTGTGAGTGGCTAGAGATAACGTGCTCCGCATCATATCAGGTAGCGCAGAGCAGACCACGTAACATAAAGGTGGAAGTTGAATCGAACAGCATATATTTTGAAGAAAAAAATCGCTGGATATTGAATTAAATAATTTTGTAACGCTGAAAAGGCCAGCAGTTTTGTTTTACTCGATGTGACTTATGCATCGACTCTAAGCAGTTTACCTTTTTGAAGTCGAGCGTTATCTTCATCAACCTCTCTATCATGAAGAAGAACCAGGCTCCGGCCAGCACACATAGTGACGTGTTCAGGTACCCGTGGCCGGCACCCTCTACCACCATTCCAAACGCCTGCAAACGAAGGGAGAGAAATACAGCGTTGACTGTTGCTAACCAAAGAAACACTTCAGAGCGGAGTCTGCGGAGATGGGCCGATTGTCAAAGGCTATACGTGTTTGTTGGCCGACGCCGGTCGATCCTTTTCGGTGAGCGATTTTAGCTCCCAGCCGAGGTCATACTCGGTGATTGGCAATCACACAATGCGCCGTGGAAACCACCTGGCTGATACAATGATACAGCGTTGCACAATTTGAGAGCACCATGACCACATCGAGTTTCCAAAAAGTAGTGTCTACCTGTAATCAAAGAACCTCTAGAGTACAGTTTTTTTCTAACACGATGCGCCCTGATTGTCACACACACACACACACACACACCCAGTCCATCAGATTTAGTCAGAGAGGCCACTGACCTGCGGTATGAGGTGGAAGAGCGCACTGGACGACAGCGAGCCGACCGCCAGTCCGATCAGGCCCGGCATCAGCCGCTCAAAGTTGACGCGTCCCAGCAGCGGCAGCAGCAGCACGGCGAAGATGGATGACAAGCTGATGACGGTGACGAACAGCACACCATATCCCCAGACCTCCGCCGGCGACGGACGGCTGCGCTTGGCGGGCGCCTCGCGCTTCGCCAGCCGCGCCAGACATCCCGGCTGCTGCGCCTGGTGTAACACCATCGGACACAGCCGCTCCAGGGTGACCGTATCGGGACCGAGTCCGTCCAACAGACTCTCCGCCGGCACACAGCCGGTGGGCGGGGAGCCGCAGGACGCAGCGTCACAGGTGACAGCACGCTGGACGGCGGTCGCCAGACGCGTCACGGCCGATTCTGTCCAGGTAGAGTTGGGGGCGTACCGTGCCGTCAACAGCTCGGACAGGCCGGCGAGGTCGGATGGGAGAGGGTCCGATGAGGCAGCCGTCTGACTGGACAGAGGGAGTACTAGCAGCACCAGCAGAAGTGGTGAATGTCCCAGCAGCGGCGGCGACCGCCGAAACGTCATGGCGAGACGGAAAATCTGCGGAAAGAAAGGGGTTGTTAGGTGCATACTAGTGGAGCTGCTTATATGGACAGTGTGTTATACTGTGACTGATGGATTTATGAGTCGTCCTTGAACAGACATGTTTGTCCGCTATTGTTATATGAGGCCTTTCGTAGCCAACCTACACATAACTGTTGCCTGGCAATCAAATGCAGAAGGAAAAAGGCAATAACGCCGAGTACAATCGTGCTGCACGCCTTCACTCAGTCTCAAAAGCCACTTGAATGACAGATTGGACAAAACTGAAAAACCGTCAGCTTTACTGTTCGGAATGTAATTTTAGCTGACGCGATGTCGTTGGTATCGACCACACAACTGAAATGTCGGTCTTCACTCGGACAGAAATAGGCAGATTGCACTCTGGCCGAGAATATCAACCCAGCTGGAGTGGGGTTTTCACGGAATTCTACCTCCGAGGCCCTGAGACTGCAATATCGGTAGGCTAGCAGTACAAGGAACGGTATTTTTAAACAGTAATTTCACATACTGATCCGCAATAAAAACGACACAAATGATAAACGATCCGCTGCAGCAAGCCATAGTGCATTGGTAAACAAAAACAAAAATAAATAAATAAAAAGCAAAATAACAGTAAAGACCCGTCAAATTCAAAGTATCCAAATCGTCGGAATGCTGACGAGGTCGCACGTGCCTGTCCTCCATACGTGCCGCAATGGCCGTCAAATATGCAGCACACCATAGCACGGACCACCAGGTCATGCACGCTGAACAATACTGAGCCAGCCGAGCCGACACGGTTCGACGGTGGACGGGCGACGTGGGGTTATTCGAGCACAGATCCGGTCCCACTCTGCCCCAGCCGTGCACCGGGCCATTCATGAAGGCACGAGGAAAATCGGGACCCGCTACCGACGGGAGGGCCCGGCCCGACACTGTCCGTTATCGTGCAAGTTAGTTGTGAGTTTTGGAGAGGGAAGGAAGAAGAGGGAGAGAAGAAGATGGAGAGATGGAAAGGGGGAGAGAAAGACGAGAGTGCTTCACATTGCGAACACTTTTAAGTTTTAACTGTATACTATTACACAGTTAAAGAGACTATTCAAAAAGTTAAACATGCAGCTGTGTGCGACAATGTCTATATACAACCGTCTCGCCAGTCGTCACTCGTCACCCGCCTGCCCGAGACTCCACCAACCATGGCGAGAGAAAGCAAACAGTTCCGACTTACAGCTGAACCCTGAATCCGATGATCTTAGCAATACGTAGCAAAAAGGCACAGCCACGAAAGTCCAAACGGGGCACTGTGTCGTGGGCAAGCGAAAGCAGTGGTGATATTCAATCTAAACAGTCTTTGACCACGATCTTCTGATGCAAAAGCTGATGTTGCACGGCATAGAAATTGCCTGGTTCGCCGCGTGTCTACATGGACACACTCAGAGCAAATCTTGAAAGATGCATCCGGACGTAAAGTGCTGTCTCGGCCTCTTTATAATACCATGGGTATCTTCCAGGGCTCTGCGTTAGGACTGCTTCTTTTCATCATTTTCTCTAATAGCTCATCGCTATACGCGGGCGACGCAGAAGCGTTTCAGTATGCCGATGACACTCAAGTATTGGTTAGCGGTCCAGCTCGGGATCTCGAAGTTCTCATCTCGCGCATGGAGGATTCGCTCGCGTCACTCGCGTCACTCAACGACTGGTTTTGCGCTAACGCCCTCAAAGTGAACGCAAGTAAAACACAGCTTATTGTATTTGGCAGTCGTGAAAATCTACGTAAATTACCAGACTTCAGAGTACCATTCCGTGATGCAGCGTTGCAGCCGTGCCACAGGTGAAGAACTTTGGCGTCACTTTCGACTGCACTCTGTCATGGGACGCACACGTCTCCGAACTCTGCCGCCGGTGTGCCGGACTGTTGATTGGTCTCTCACACGCGCGCCACTGTCTCCCAGATGGCATCATTAAAATGCTCGTGACGGCACTCGTAGTATCGCAAATCCAGTACCTACTGCCTTTCAGTTTATGGTAATGGGTCCCAAAACAATTTTGATCGACTCCCAAAAAAAAAAAAAAAAAAAAATTAACTTCGCCGCTAGAGTTATTTTCGGCCGCCTTAAATTTGACCATGTCTCCGACCTGCGAACAAAATTCGGGTGGTTGTCCCCGCGCGGTATGTCCGATTTCCAAACCCTTGTCATCGCACACAAGGTCATACAACGCCGAGAACCCAAGGAACTAGCAGCCCTGTTCGTTGCTAACAGCGCTATCCGCGAGAGACAATCCAGGCAAGATCCAGACAAGACACCTCTTCCATCTCCCGCGTTCGCGGGTGGAAACGGGCAAGCGGCGGTTCGGCTATCATTTGTCAATTGTCCATCGACTTTCAACATATGATAAAACGGCTCCACTAGCGTCCGGTAAAATGTAAATGTATGTGGAGCGGACTTATTTTCATGCAATGAGAAAGCCAGTAGGTATCACTGGGATTACAAGATCGGTTCGCTGGGGGAACATCTGATTGCCCACAATACCGACGAATCGGATGACACCACCTTCGTCTCGGGTCGCCATCGGAGGTCAGTTTCCGGGCTGGCAGTCGACCCGCTGGGACCAGGGACCGTCTCTGGCGGGATGTTTAGCGCCTAGCGCTACCTTGATCCCACATCGCCGTCCGCCGAGCAATGTGGTTGGCATAAGACGCGTAGTTTTTCAAGAGCTGCATATCCAACTTGCACCTATAGCAAAGCAACTTGCAAGGGCCCTCTGAAGTCTGACTCCAACTTCAAAAATCGATCAGGAAGCTGAACCTACCTCAACAACAGACATCCATTTCAAATCAAACCCCCAATCAAACCTTCCAATAAAATGACTTAGATGTTTGCTCAGCCCTGGTCACCCCAGGTCCTCGATAAGAATCAGAGTTCCAGCAGCCTAGTGATACAGCGAGTGACCAATGCATTTGGTCTGATCATGTAATATCAGTGTCAGCATCACAATCTGTAGAAAACAAGAGATGGCTTTCCAACAGACTATGAACACTGGGAACTTCAAGCTCAGGATCCTTCACTTTTCAATAAGAGTTAAAGTAGTAGCAATCGCTAGCCCAAGGTACCTATGTTGTTATCACTTATCAATATAAAATACTCAAAATAGCAGCAAACTACAAGGCTACTTCAAAAAGGTATCATTATTGAACTGTTTTTTATTGAATTGCAAAAGAAAGGGACAGTTATATTTGCAGTGGCTGCAGAATCCCACCACAAAATACAAATACACACCAACTGATTGACCAGGCAGACTAGCCACCACAAAATCTAGTCAAAACTGCCATAATTGATAGTTAGCTTAACATTTATAATTTTATCAATATCAATAATAGGAACCAGAGGATAATTAAAATTTGGCATTAAAATGCAAAATCTTCAACCTGAATTGACCAGCTCCAGGGACCAGGCTCAAACCACTGATATCTCAGATTTTGTTGGGCATTCTTTTAAGTTTTATAGCTTTGTTGGGCAGACCAGGGAGCTACTTGGCTACTGTTTTTCAGCATTATGCCACCAGCTTGCTGTCAATTTCAACTTTTCATTGATCAAAAATCAAAATCAATCATGTGACCTGTGTGCTGTGTGCAGTTCATCAGCGACACCATGAAATACCAGCAATGACCTTCCACATATGACTTATGAGAAAATCAGCAACATGCTGATAAAGCATGCGTTCAGACAGCCGGCGCCTGGCAGCCCCTTTTTTTTCTCTATTGGGGGATATCCCTTAGGCTTTTCATGGATAATGGGTAAAAACTGGCACCACCAGCTGCCAGGCACCATGTGCTTTGCATTTAATTTTCTTAATTGAAAAATAATTATTTTAACTTATTAATCATTCTTGTTTATTTATTCATGCATTAACACCCTTGGAAATTTTGTACAAATATTTTCATGAGGAATGCATCAGCAGGGAAATTCTTCAAGAAATTATGGCCTGTCCGAACACACAAAAACAGGAACAGGACAGCACAGCAATAGGGTAAATCTGACACCATGCCACAGGGCTGTGGAGTCGATGGATATTTGGCAACTTCGACTCCGACTCCGGCTTTCAAAAAGCAGCTCAGACTCCAACTCTGACTCCGGGCAGAATTGTCAACTCCGACCAACTCCAACTCCCGACTCCGACTCCGCAGACCTAGCAGGGCTGCGGAGTCGACAGATTTTCGGTGACTCCGACTCCAACTCCGGCTCGGGTTTCTAAAATCGACTCTGACTCCGACTCCGGTCACAACTGTCGACTCCGACCAACTCTGACTCGAACTCAGACTCTGACTCCGCAGCCCTGCCATGCCAATGCCAAATTTTCTTTCAGCCAAGTGGCAGATACAGCGGTATTACCTGTTACTAAAATTAAGCTTACAAATGAATATTGGTCTGTCAGCCTGAATTGCCTATATCAATATTTATATGCAACAATAAATGGTTCTCACCCGGCCCGGCCCGGCCATTGGCTACCTAATGACTCTCGGCTCACTTACATGAATAAAAGGCAAGGTCATCACTCATCAAGAACCAGAGTCAAAACTGTTTCAACAACTTTCATATGATTCAAGATGTGTCCTCCCAGCTAACAATTTGCCGTTGTTACAACGTCGTTTAAACGTTGTCAAATGGCTACCACAACGTCCCGATTTATCGTTATGACAACGTAATTTTGTAGACTCCCGAGCTCTGTTCGCACCCCGTTTATTTATCAGCAGACTTATGACGTCGGCGGTCGATTTACGTCACGGGACATGACGTCATCGCTGTAAGCTACGTGCTACGTGAAAGAGACATATATGGTGCTGTACTGACATTGGTGGCGCACATCAATCAAATGCTCTCCTGCGCCGTTTTGTGTGTTTATTGTTTCACATGGGTATGTTGTGATTATATTCGGTTTTGAAAATTGATTTTTTGTTTTATTTAATTTTTTATGCTGTTTATATAACTATTCTATTTGCGTCGGTTTGCGGGTTTTTTCAAGTGCTCAGTTTTTGCAGCGAGCTTTTTCTCTTAGGGTTTGCGAGATAGCCGCGGAACCACATATCTCTTAAGCATTGGCTTCAGACACAGGAATGCGGCTGATTCACGTGACAAACTCGATGGCGGTCCCTCCATTCCGGAGAAATTCGCCGTCCCTATATGCAATCCACAGAGCCGAGCGGCGGATGACAGGTGGCCGGCTCTCGGGAGATCGGCAGGCGCCACTCGAAAAATCGGCAAGCCGCCGCCGAATGCGCGTGCGAAAATGAGCGGGGTACCGCCGTTCCGGAGATCCCGGCAGCCGGCGGCCGGCCGGCCGCCGTAAATGCCCAGTCGGGGCAGGTGCTGCCACCTGCGCAGTCGGCCGGCCCGTGCGGCAGTGCGTGGTAGTTCCGCTGGCGGCCGCCAGAGGGATATCGCCACGCGCGTCGTCACTAACCATGCGAATCTAAGAAAAGTTGAATAACTTGAATAAGAGTGAGGGTAAAGCCAGAATTTTAGCGGCGAATGAGGCGAATAGCAAAGGGATCCAACACAGCCATCTGTATTTACTGTATTTACCCTTTTCAGTCAGCGATAAGCCCCAGCAATCGCACCGCTCTAAAACTCGCAAGCTGTTCACCGTGCAGGGTATTCCATTATAACCACCCACCGGCTCTGAAACACATATAAGACCGCAGAATAGGTAGGACGCGAAAAACCATAGGGGAAATATAGGTAGGTGAAACACAATTCAGATTGGGAACAAAACCTACTCATATTGCGAGCAATTCATTGAAAATACAGCGAAGCGATCTGTGCCCCAGACAATTTCCGGCAATTATTGGTAGTCTAAAAACGTCTGATTTAAACGTCAGAAAGTAACAGGTTTTTTCGCGGTATTTAGGCAAGTTAATACCAAGTATTTTAGAACAAGTTCTTTGCGGTATTTAGGCAAGTAAATACCTTTGGCAAATTTTCAGTACATTAGCAAGTTTATATAACTATTCTATTTGCGTCGGTTTGCGGTTTTTTTTGAAACGCTCAGTTTTCGCAGCGAGCTTTTTCTCTTAGGGCCTGCGAGATAGCCGCGGAACCACATATCTCTTAAGCATTGGCTTCAGACACAGGAATGCGGCTGATTCACGTGCTTTTGTGAGCGAGGTGCTTCCCTCCGGGAGAAATTCGCCGTCCCCATATGCTTAACACAGAGCCGAGCGGCGGCTGACAGGTGGCCGGCTCTCGGGAGATCGGCAGCCGACACTCGAAAAATCGACAAGCCGCCGCTGAATGCGCGTGCGATTATCAGGGAGGCACCGCCATTCAGCGGATTTCTATTGTCGGCCGATATTGTCGGCCGAGACGGGCGGCGGGCGGCGGGGCGGGGTTTCCCCGTCCAGCGGCCGGCAGTGCTGAGCCGAGTCGTTCCCACGGTCTGGAGGCCAGCTGGGTGGGGGCGGGGTGGGGAGTGGGGCGGCCGATTGCCAGCCGCTTCTCCACGGGCAGGTGCTGCCACCTGTGCAGTAGTTCCACTGGCGGCCGCCAGGCCCGTGTGCGGGCCGTGCGCGGTAGTTCCGCCAGCGGCCGTCAGATGGATATCGCCACGCGCGTCGTGTCTAACCTGACGAAGCTACAAAAAGTTAGATAACTTTAATAAGAGGGACGGTAAAGCCACAATTCCAACGCTGAATGTTGGGCAAAAGCAAAGGGATCCAACACAGCCATCTGTATTTACTGTATTTACCCTTTTCAGTCAGCGATAAGCCCCAGCAATCGCACCGCTGTAAAACTCGCAAGCTGTTCACCGTGCAGGGTATTGCATTATAACCACCCACCGGCTCTCTCTACGTATGTGTAATTGCTTCATAGGTAGGACGCGAAAAGAATTTCGGACATGATAGGTAGGCGAATCAAGTTATGAATCGGAAATAAACTTGGTGAAACAAAATACGAATTGGAATAAGCGTAACTCAATTGCAAACAATTCATTGAAAACAAATCAAAACGATCTGAAGCCAAGGCAATTTCTCAAGATCTTTGGTCGTCTAAAGACGTCTGATTTAAACGTCGGAAAGGAACAAGTTCTTAGCGGTATTTAGGCAAGTAAATACCAAGTACTTTGGCAGGTTTTCAGTACATTAGCAAGTTTTCAGTACATTACCAAGTAGCAGGTGATACAGCAAGCTGGCAGGTACTTTGGCATATAACTATTCTATTTGCGTCGGTTTGCGGTTTTTTTTGAAACGCTCAGTTTTCGCAGCGAGCTTTTTCTCTTAGGGCCTGCGAGATAGCCGCGGAACCACATATCTCTTAAGCATTGGCTTCAGACACAGGAATGCGGCTGATTCACGTGCTTTTGTGAGCGAGGTGCTTCCCTCCGGGAGAAATTCGCCGTCCCCATATGCTTAACACAGAGCCGAGCGGCGGCTGACAGGTGGCCGGCTCTCGGGAGATCGGCAGCCGACACTCGAAAAATCGACAAGCCGCCGCTGAATGCGCGTGCGATTATCAGGGAGGCACCGCCATTCAGCGGATTTCTATTGTCGGCCGATATTGTCGGCCGAGACGGGCGGCGGGCGGCGGGGCGGGGTTTCCCCGTCCAGCGGCCGGCAGTGCTGAGCCGAGTCGTTCCCACGGTCTGGAGGCCAGCTGGGTGGGGGCGGGGTGGGGAGTGGGGCGGCCGATTGCCAGCCGCTTCTCCACGGGCAGGTGCTGCCACCTGTGCAGTAGTTCCACTGGCGGCCGCCAGGCCCGTGTGCGGGCCGTGCGCGGTAGTTCCGCCAGCGGCCGTCAGATGGATATCGCCACGCGCGTCGTGTCTAACCTGACGAAGCTACAAAAAGTTAGATAACTTTAATAAGAGGGACGGTAAAGCCACAATTCCAACGCTGAATGTTGGGCAAAAGCAAAGGGATCCAACACAGCCATCTGTATTTACTGTATTTACCCTTTTCAGTCAGCGATAAGCCCCAGCAATCGCACCGCTGTAAAACTCGCAAGCTGTTCACCGTGCAGGGTATTGCATTATAACCACCCACCGGCTCTCTCTACGTATGTGTAATTGCTTCATAGGTAGGACGCGAAAAGAATTGCGGACATGATAGGTAGGCGAATCAAGTTATGAATCGGAAATAAACTTGGTGAAACAAAATACGAATTGGAATAAGCGTAACTCAATTGCAAACAATTCATTGAAAACAAATCAAAACGATCTGAAGCCAAGGCAATTTCTCAAGATCTTTGGTCGTCTAAAGACGTCTGATTTAAACGTCGGAAAGGAACAAGTTCTTAGCGGTATTTAGGCAAGTAAATACCAAGTACTTTGGCAGGTTTTCAGTACATTAGCAAGTTTTCAGTACATTACCAAGTAGCAGGTGATACAGCAAGCTGGCAGGTACTTTGGCAAGTCAACAAGTTTTTCGTGAATATCTAAGCTTCTAGACGTCCGATTAACACGGGACGAACACCAATCGATCCCAAATTTTCTCCCTCATACTTTGATTGCCAAAGCGACGCGGAGCGAGCGCAAGATATCTTGTATAACTATTCTATTTGCGTCGGTTTGCGGTTTTTTTTTGAAACGCTCAGTTTTCGCAGCGAGCTTTTTCTCTTAGGGCCTGCGAGATAGCCGCGGAACCACATATCTCTTAAGCATTGGCTTCAGACACAGGAATGCGGCTGATTCACGTGCTTTTGTGAGCGAGGTGCTTCCCTCCGGGAGAAATTCGCCGTCCCCATATGCTTAACACAGAGCCGAGCGGCGGCTGACAGGTGGCCGGCTCTCGGGAGATCGGCAGCCGACACTCGAAAAATCGACAAGCCGCCGCTGAATGCGCGTGCGATTATCAGGGAGGCACCGCCATTCAGCGGATTTCTATTGTCGGCCGATATTGTCGGCCGAGACGGGCGGCGGGCGGCGGGGCGGGGTTTCCCCGTCCAGCGGCCGGCAGTGCTGAGCCGAGTCGTTCCCACGGTCTGGAGGCCAGCTGGGTGGGGGCGGGGTGGGGAGTGGGGCGGCCGATTGCCAGCCGCTTCTCCACGGGCAGGTGCTGCCACCTGTGCAGTAGTTCCACTGGCGGCCGCCAGGCCCGTGTGCGGGCCGTGCGCGGTAGTTCCGCCAGCGGCCGTCAGATGGATATCGCCACGCGCGTCGTGTCTAACCTGACGAAGCTACAAAAAGTTAGATAACTTTAATAAGAGGGACGGTAAAGCCACAATTCCAACGCTGAATGTTGGGCAAAAGCAAAGGGATCCAACACAGCCATCTGTATTTACTGTATTTACCCTTTTCAGTCAGCGATAAGCCCCAGCAATCGCACCGCTGTAAAACTCGCAAGCTGTTCACCGTGCAGGGTATTGCATTATAACCACCCACCGGCTCTCTCTACGTATGTGTAATTGCTTCATAGGTAGGACGCGAAAAGAATTTCGGACATGATAGGTAGGCGAATCAAGTTATGAATCGGAAATAAACTTGGTGAAACAAAATACGAATTGGAATAAGCGTAACTCAATTGCAAACAATTCATTGAAAACAAATCAAAACGATCTGAAGCCAAGGCAATTTCTCAAGATCTTTGGTCGTCTAAAGACGTCTGATTTAAACGTCGGAAAGGAACAAGTTCTTAGCGGTATTTAGGCAAGTAAATACCAAGTACTTTGGCAGGTTTTCAGTACATTAGCAAGTTTTCAGTACATTACCAAGTAGCAGGTGATACAGCAAGCTGGCAGGTACTTTGGC